CAGCAGCAGAATCTGCTGCTGCTGCAGCAGGACCTGGCGCGGCCTCCATTCACATCAGCAGCAAGTTTAATGCCATGGTTGAGACCCTCAGCACTTTGAGACACCGCTTACAACACAAGTCTCGCAGCAGCAGCAGCAGCAGCAGCAGCAGCAGCAGCAGCAGCTCAGATGAAGACCCAGCAGCAATAGACGAGCTCCACGTGTACGCGGAGCTGCAGCGGCTGCTGCTGCTGCTGCAGCAGCCCAACGACCCCAGCAGCCAAATGCAGCAGTTAGATGATGTCTACAAATGGTACCTTTCGTTTTGCTGCCCCGACCAGCAGCAGCAGCAACAGCAGCAGCAGCAGCAGCAGCAGCAGCGGCAGAAGCAAAGGCAGCAGCAGCAGCAGCAGCTGGCAGCAGCAAGCTGCTCGGGAGGGTCCCCTCAGGAGCCCACAGATACACCTCTTCCTGGTTCTGCCTTTTGGGACCCCCAGCAGCAGCAGCAGCAGGAGCAGCAGCAGCAGCAGCAGCAAGAGGAGCTGCAGCAGCAGCAGTCAGAGAGTGACGAGGATGAGGACGAAGAGGAGGAGGAGCAACAAGAGCAGCAGCAAGGCCAACAGCAGCAGCAGCAGCAGCAGCAGCAGCAGCAACAGCAGCCGCAGGAGCAAGAGGAGCAAGAAGAGCAGCAGCAGGAGGAGCAGCAGCTAGAGCAGCAGGAACAGGAGCAGCAGCAGCAGCAGCAGCAGCAACAGCAGCAGCAGCAGCAATCTGCTCCTTCCTTCTACGACTATATAGCAGCACACGCCCCCGTGTGCACTGCAGCAGACAAACTGCGGCAGTACAAAATGAAGCTGCTGTTTAAACCCCAGCAGCAGCAGCAGCAGGCCAGCAGCAGCAGCAGCAGCAGCAGCAGCAGCAGCAGCAGCAGCAGCAGCAGGAATTTATTTGAATATCAGCCAGCCCAAGGCTTGCTTCCCTGGGGTTTAGTTTTAAAGCCTTCGGAAAATGAAGAGGCCGCCGCAGTAAACCCTAAAAGGCCCCTCCAGTGCCACTTTCAAGGTCCCTAAACCCTAAACCCTAAACCCTAAACCCTAAACCCTAGGCGCTGGCGGCTGCGGGTGCCTAGTGCTGCACAGGCGAAACCCTAAACCCTAATCAGCAGCCATAATAAAGAATCGCAAATCCAGAAAAGCAGCTTAGTGATAAAAGGGTTTAGGGTTTAGGGTTGGGGGTTTTCAGTTTAGAGTTAAGGGTTTAGAGGGTAACGACTTGGGTTTAGCGCTTGGGTCTAGGGTTTAGGGTTTAGGGTTTAGGGTTTAGGGTTTAGGGTTTAGGGTTTAGGGTTTAGGGTTTAATGTGGCGATCGGCTGGATGGCCGAGTGGTCTAAGGCGCTGCGTTCAGGCCGCAGTCCTCGCGGGCGTGGGTTCGAATCCCACTTCAGTCAAACCCTTTTCTAGGGTTTAGGGTTTAGGGTTTACCACACGAATTAAATGCTTTTTGGGTTTTTTCCTGCAATCAGAAATGTCTAAACCTCTCAAACCCTAAACCCTCGCTCTCCCTGCAGCCCCAGGGGCCCCGATCAGCAGGGCCCCGCATGTCACCAGCATGTCTGCCTTAAGGGTTTAGGGTTTAGGGTTTAGGGTTTGGGGTTAAGGGTTTAGCTATTGCTACGTGGGCCATCGCGCTTAACTCTTAGGGTTTAAGACTTAGACTTAATGTTTAGGGTTGGGATCTAGGGTTTCACCTCTTGAGGAGGCCATAGTGTTAAGGGTTTAGGGTTTAGGGTTTAGTCTTACAATCTAGGGTTTAGGGTTTAGGGTTTAACGGTGAGGCTTCAAGGCTGTTAATGGTGGAAAATTTAAGTGAAAAAAGCCAACGACAGGAACGCAACAACTTCGACTAGGGTTTAAGGTTTAGGGTTTAGGGTTTAGGGAGCAGTGGTCAGCTTAGGGTTTAGGGTTTAGGGTTTAGGGTTTAGGGTTTAGGGTTTAGGGTTTAGGGTTTGCGGTTTAGGGTTTAGGGTTTAGGGTTTAGGGTTTAGGGTTTAGGGTTTAGGGTTTAGGGTTTAGGGTTTTGTTTTAGGGTTTAGGGTTTAGGGTTTAGGGTTTAGGGTTTAGGGTTTAGGGTTTAGGGTTTAGGGTTTAGGTGTTTAGGGTTTAGGGTTTAGGGTTTAGGGTTTAGGGTTTAGGGTTTAGGGTTTAGGGTTTAGGGTTTGCTGCTTAGGGTACCAGGCCCCCGACCGCCGTTCGCTCTTGGGCTCTCAAATGCATCAGCGGTGGTTCGCTGCGCGTCAACGAGAGCAAGCTGCAGCAGAGTAAACCCTAAACCCTAAACCCTAAACCCTAAACCCTAAACCCTAACCCGTGGGCTCTAAAGACTTCACCTCAGCGCTGCCTCGCAGCTACTCCGTGCGGCCTGCTGCAAGGCCGTTGAGCTTGAGGTTTGGGATTTAGGGTTTAGGGTTTAGGGTTTAGGGTTTAGGGTTTGTGGCGTAGGAAATATGCAGAGAGGAAAGCATGCGTGGCGAATTGGCGTTTGCACCGAGACGCAGTCCTGCGGCAGGCTCAGGAGTATGCCCAAACCCTAAACCCTAAACCCTAAACCCTAAACCCTAAACCCTAAACCCTAAACCCTCGAGGACTTAGGGCCTCCTGCCAGTTCACGGTCTCAACGGCAAAACAAATCTAGGGTTTAGGGTTTGGGGTTTCGGCGGCTGGGCGCATCAGCTGATTTGGTTCTAGACTTTAGGGTTTGAGGATTCGGATTTACCGTTTAGGGTTTAGGGTTTAGGGTTTAGGGTTTGGGTCCAAACTAACCTTCCTTAAATGCAGACCCTAAACCCTGACGCAAATGCTAAACCCCGAATCCCAAAACTCTAAAGCCCCGCGTAAACCCTAAACCCTAATTGGAGCCCAAACCCTAACGTAAAACCCTAAACCCTAATTCTCAGTTGTAAACCCTTTTGAGGCTAATGTCTGCAGAACTGCGGAGTACGTTTGCTCCTCCTTCAAGACGATCAAGTAGGGTTTAGGGTTTAGGGTTTAGGGTTTAGGGTTTAGGGTTTAGGGTTAAAGGCCTAGGGTTTGCGGTTTCGCACTCCCGCTGGCATCCCAAACGCGCTAATGCCAACTCTTCCTGCTGCTTCCGTTGCTGCTGCTGCTGCTGCTGCTGCACTGCAACTGCTGCTGCTGCCGCAAATGCTGCTGCTGCGCCTGCTGCTGCAACTTGTACTGCTGCTGCTGCTGCTATTGCTGCTGCTGCTGCTATTGCTGCTGCTGCTGCTGCTATTGCTGCTGCTGCTGCTATTGCTGCTGCTGCAGACCAGACCGCAACGAGTGGCGTCAGCACTGCCGTTTGCTGCAGCAGCGGCACACGACAGCAGCAGCAGCAGCAGCAGCAGCAGCAGCAGCAGAGTGTTCGCAAGCAGCTAAGGGTTTAGGGTTTACGGCTCAGTCAACTGCAACAGAGCCAGAAGCAGAATCCATTTGCTCCAGTGACTCTGAAGAAGAAGAAGAAGAAGAGCAGCAGCAGCAGCAGCAGCGGCTGCTGCTGCTGCAGCGGCAGCAGCGGCTGCAGCAGCAGCAGCAACAGCTCAGGTTGCAGCAGCAAAGACACACAACAGTCAATGCGACGACTTTGGGCTCCGTCCACCCTTTCGTGAGTAAAGAATTTAGGGTTTAGGGTTTAGGGTTTAGGGTTTAGGGTTTAGGGTTTAGGGTTTAAGGTTTGCCGACTACGGTTCAATGCTTCCTCTGAGACGAAAAAGCCCTTCTAGGGTTTAGGATGTTGATGACTATGGCCCAAGGGTTTAGGGTCTGGGGTTTAGGGTTTAGCGTTTAAAGTCTAGGGTTTAGGGTTTAGGGTTTAGGGTTTGTAATGCGCAATGTCTCTGTGAGGGCTAGAAAACGTCTGGCGATTCCACTGCGGCGCAACGGTCAGCAGCAGCAGCAGCAGCAGCAGCAGCAGCAGCAGCAGTTGTAATAATTGATCCAAATGCTGCAGCTGCTGCTGCTTCGCGTCGCCGTTTAGCTGCAGCAGAAATGGGTAAGATGCTAATGGCTAGTTAGCTAGCTAGTTGGCTAGCTAGCTAGCCAGCTAGCTAGCTAGCTAACTAACTAGCTAGGGCTAATTTTAATAGCTAGCTAGCCAGCTGGCTAGCTATTGAAATTAGCCCTAGCTATGGCTAGCTAGCTATGGCTAGCTAGCTATGGCTAGCTAGCTATGGCTAGCTCGTCATGGCAAGCTAGCTATGGCGAGCTAGCTAGGGCTAGCCACATATGGCTAGCTAGCTGTAACTCGCTAGCTAGCGCTAGCTGGATAGGGTTAGCCATTTGTGACTAGCTAGCTAGGTTTAGCTAGCTTTGGCTAGCTAGCTGTGGCCAGCTAGCTAGGGCAAGCTAGCTATGGCTACCTATCTATGCTTGGCTAGCTATGCCGAGCTACGGCTAGGCATAGCTAGCTAAGCATCTAATGGCTAGCCAGCTAGCTAGCCGTAGCTAGCCATAGCTAGCCATAGCTAGCCATAGCTAGCCATAGCTAGCCATAGCTAGCCAGGCTCTGCTAGCTAGCTGCTTTAGCGAACTGCTGCAGCTAGCTGGGAAACAGCAACGTAGTGGAGGCAGCAGCAGCAGCAGCAGCAGCAGCAGCACTCCATTTAGACAATGCATCCTCTTGCGGGCCCAGATTAGATTTGCAAACTGCTGCTGCTGCTGCTGCTGCTGCTGCTGTTGCTGCTGCTGTTGCTGCAGACTGTCCATCTGCGATTTCAGCCCCGGTGCTGCAGCAGCCGAGTGTGTTTGCTGCTGTTGCTGCTTACCGGCAGCAGCAGCAGCAGCAGCGCCAAAGTCAAAAGAAAAAGTCAGCAAAGAATAGTAAAGCAGCAGCAGCAGCAGCAGCAGCAGCAGCAAAACCAGCTGCTAGGGCCTCCACAACCAAGAAGTGAGTCCCTACGTCTTTATGCTGCTGCTGCTGCTGCTGCTGCTGCTGCTGCTGCTGCTGCGTAGACAAACGCTTATTTTATTGCTTCAGCAGCAGCAGCAGCAGAAAGAAGCAGCCAATATGAACAGCAGCAGCAGCAACAGAAACAGCAACAACAGCAACCGCAGCAGCAGCAGCAACAATGGCAGCAGCAGCAGCAAAGCCACAGCTCCCCTATTCGCTTTTGTCTCTGCAGGAAAGGCCCTAGTGCGCAGCAGCAGCAGCAGCAGCAGCAGCAGCAGCAGCCAGTGCTGCTGCTGCCCCCGCTGCCTTTCCGTTTGGTGGATCCTGCAGAAGCAGCAAAGCCGAAACCTAAAAAAAGGAAAATGCAAACAAAGAAGAAATAAACACTGTGCTGCTGCTGCTGCTGCTGCTGTTCTTTCTGCTGCTGCTGTTGCTGCCGCTGCTGCTGCTGCTGCTGCTGCCGTCGGTGCAGCAGCAGCAAGCATAGTATTAATGAATTGTGGACCAGCAGCAGCAGCAGCCAAAGCAACTGCCAGGGCTGCTACTACGAATAAGTATTCCGCAGCAGCAGGAGCAGCAGCAGCATCTAAAGCAGCAGCAGCAGCAGCAGCAGCAGCAGCAGCAACTAGGGATGCATTCGTTATTAGCTACGTATGTCAGCAGCAGCAACTAGAGCTGTTGTTGCTGCTCCAGCTGCTTTGCTGCTGTAGCAGCCACTGGAGTAGCAGCAAAGAGACACAGCAGCTGCTGCAGCAGCAGCAGCAGCCGCTGCTGCTACTGCTGCAGCAGCAGCAGCAGCAGCAGCAGCAGCAGCCGCTGCAGCAGCAGCAGCAGCAACAGCCGCTGCAGCAGCTGCTGCTGCTGATGCAGCTGCGGCTGCAAGGACTTCGTTCTATTTATAGCGACGCCGAAATTAGGTGTCTAGTGATTTGCCTTGCTGCTGCTGCTGCTGCTGCTGCTGCTGCTGCTGCTGCTGCTTCTTTTGCTGCTGCACTGCCGCAGCAGTAGCACTTCAGTCCCCTCTTTTGCTGCTGCCGTTTGCCACTCCTACTGCTGCAGCCTTCTACCGTAGAAATTCTAAACCCTAAACCCTAAATTCCAAACCCTAAACCCTAAACCCTAAACCCTAAACCCTAAACCCTCGATACATAACTAGTTTAAACGCAGTTACTTCTGCTCCGAACTATGAAGGGTTTGTGGATGCTGCGGCATGAACGCTGAACCCCTAAACCCTAAACTCTAAACCCTAAACCCTAAACCCTAAACCCTAAACCCTAAACCCGCTGGTCTGGGCCAGCCACGGACAAAAGCCAATTAAAACCTCACGGCACATATCGGCAAGGGTTTGGGGTTTAGGGTTTGGAGCCAACCCTCACCAGTCTCTGCTCCGTATTCGAAGAAGAACATATACCACTTGCTGCAACTGCTGCTGCTGCTGCTGCTGCAGCAGCTGTTGCTGCTGTTGCTGCTGCTGCAGCAGCAGCTGTTGCTGCTGCTGCAGCTGCAGCTGTTGCTGCTGTTGCTGCTGCTGCTGCTGCACTGCTGCTGCAGAGGCATCAGCAGCACTACTAGCTGATGCAGCTGCCGCTGTCGTTGCTGCAGCAGCAAAAGCTTCAGCAGCATCTGCAGCCACAGCAGCAGTAGCTGCTGCAGCAGCAGTAGCTGCAGCAGCAGCAGCTGCAGCAGCAGCAGTAGCTGCAGCAGCAGCAGCTGCAGCAGCAGCTCAGGCTGCTTCTGAAGCTGCTTGCTTAGAAGACAGCGCCTAAGAGTGTTTTCTCCATGCAGTAAACCCCAAAGAGCTTTATGAGTTATTTGCCATTAATATTTTTTATTGTAATTTAAATTTATTGTTTTATTTTTATTTTTATTTTTATTTTTATTTTTATTTTAATTAATTATTTCTTTTAAAGAGACTCCTGCAGCAGCAAAGTTTTGCCCTTGTTGATTTGCCCCCAGCCAATCAGCCTCCAGTGCTTGTCCACTCGCCGGCTCAGCGCCACCTTGTCTCCCACCTGAAACCACAAATTAGGGTTTAGGGTTTAGGGTTTAGGGTTTAGCGGGCGCCGCCAAAGCCCCAAAGCGCAGGCCACGGCCTTCCAGCCCCTAAACCCTAAACCCTAGCCCCTGAACAGGGAGCGGCACCGCGTGCCGCTCCCGCCCCCGCCAAAACCCCCAAAGCCTCAAACCCTAAACCCTAAACCCTAAACCCTAAACCCTAAACCCTAGCGGACCCGGGTGCAGACAGGGCCAGTGAGTTCCAACTTGGCCACTTCTGGCTTAACTCCAGCAACCCTCGCGCCCACAGAAGTGGAGCCAATATTAACCATTACGAATTCTCCTTTTTTCAATTTGGAAACTTTCGTTGATTTGTCTCCTTCCTGAACACAAACCCTAAACCCTAAACCCTAAACCCTAAACCCTAAGCCCTGCTCCTTGACGCCGTTCCCGCCCTGCGCTTCGACGCAGCAAACCCTAAACCCTCGCGCCCAACCCTAAACCCTAAACCCTCGCCCGCCCGCACAAACCCCCGCAGCCCCCTAAAACCCCCCCCACCCCCCAATGGGGTTTGGGATTTG